TATTTGTGTGTTGTTGCAGGTGAAGGTTTGGGTATTTTCTCTAAAACGTGGATTAAAGCTGGGACAGAAATGGGTCCATTCACCGGACGTCTGATTTCACCGGAACACGTGGACCTGTACAAGAACAACAACCTCATGTGGGAGGTAAACGTGATGATGGAAATGATTCAAGCACAGAACTAACTTATCCACCTGGAACCAACCAACTTCCAGCTGATTGGGATAGCGCCCTCTACCTGTGACAGACATATTGGTTCTACTGCTAAACAGCAACAAGTCATTTCACTAACCAACCGAATTAACCACCTAACTAACCTAACTAACCTAACTAACCTAACAACGCTTTGCTATCTGACACGTGGCTAACTCCAGGCTAACGGACGAGCTCTGATTAGCTATTGTGTAACTGGTCAATCAGCTGAATCAAACTGTTTCCAGACCAGCTAACTATTCAACATGCTGACCAACTGGCAACTGACTGATTAGCATTAGCTTATGAAGGTAACATAGCCAACTCCCTTTATCTCTCAATGACGAGCTCTCAGCTAACAGCTAGCACACGAACTCATTTCTAACTTACCGAAACGTAATGTCTCAGTGACTCATCCTGTAAATGTTGAATGACTAATGATCTGGTAACGATCGGGGATTTAAAGTATTACCAGGTGAATAAGTAGTGTGTTGTGTCCAGGTGTTTAACGAGGACGGGTCCGTCAGGTATTTCATCGATGCGAGTCAGGAGGACCAGAGGAGCTGGATGACCTACATCAAGTGTGCGAGGAACGAGCAGGAGCAGAACCTGGAGGTGGTTCAGATCGGCAGCAGCATCTTCTACAAGGCCGTGGAGGTCAGTGAACGCATCACCTCTCCACACACAGCACTACAACTTTTTAATATATTTTATACACAGAGCTGTTTACTGCAGCGTGGAAGTATCACTTCAAATATCACGCCGTAAAAATACTCTAGTTTAAATACTCGTTGAGCTTTCAACAGAATATTTCACAGGAAG